ATTGGGTCCTACTTTTCTTACTTTGACAGTGACAGATTTTCTGTCCTAAAAGGAGTTTGTTTCTAAACAGAAATCAGATTCTGCATGCAAAACTCCAGTCTTCAATGTACTCCTAAATTGCACTCTGCATAATTTACGGTGTACTTTGCTTTTTTGTACAACTTAAAAAGTCAAAATTACCTTCACACATCAGCACTGATTGGGCCCTTCTTGTCAACACTGTTATTCACTGTCTTTCCTTCCCTTCAGGAAACTCATTTGTCTTGTCAGTCATGTTCTACCTGTTAGCTGAGTAAGAGGCCACAGCCGCATAAACTTTAGCAGTTAGCATGTCTGACTGCTGCTGTGCTGTTTGCATCAACTTTGCATGGCTGTTCCAGCCACGAGTGGTCCAGCGCAGAGCAACTCTTACCATTGGCTATTCATCTTTTCTCTATATTAAATGTCGATGGTGACCTTCTCGTATGTCTGTTAATGAAAATTATTTCACAAAATATGTTATTGCTTAACTCTTAGTTCCAGTTAATGACAAAACTTATAGAAGTTCATATCCTGCTTCAGAAATCTAGGTTTTTATTTGATCATCAGAAAATGACTGTCTCCAACTTCCTCTTTAAGAGGTCAGAAATCTTTCCAATCCCTTTTCATTTTGGCCAAAGAATATTTATCTACAGCTGCAAATGTTTTCTGACCAGTTGAAAAAGGACATTTCATTTTTTATGCATATCTACAGTAGGAAATTTATTTTCTACTCAATTTTATGTTCTAAATTTGAGAAAAATGTCAAACTGTGCACATTAACATACAGTGTAATTTATGTACACTGCTCAAAAAAAATAAAGGGAACACTCAAATAACCAATCCTAGATCTGAATGAATGAAATATTCTCATTGAATACTTTGTTCTGTACAAAGTTGAATGTGCTGACAACAAAATCACACAAAAATCATCAATGGAAATCAAATTTATTAACCAATGGAGGCCTGGATTTGGAGCCATACACAAAATTAAAGTGAAATGTTCCCTTTATTTTTTTTTAGCAGTATATTTATTTAACAGCTGAACACATTGTGACTGCAGAACATGGAAACATCTTTTGTTCAGTTTAACTCCGACTCAGACTGAACTCCTGTTTTTACCATGTGATTAACCGCAGATGAATAAGTTTGTGTGCCGGCTCAGCCAGCATTCCTGACCCCAATCGAACCAAACTTCCTGTTTTTAACCTGCTGAAGCATGCACATTGTTTGCTTCTATATGTTTACATCTATATGATGATTTGTAGTTGCTGGCAGCTATGCACTCTGAGGTTGCAGATAATCATTTACGTTATAACATGATAAAACATGGTAAATAATAATGTGGCTGCCCTCCTAGTTGCAGGCTCTGGTAAAACAGGCTTGTCATGTTGAATATTTCCTGGTTTGTTAAATTCTTCAGTGTTTGCAGCTCCTACTTCTTCTGGACTGCAGTGGAGCCTCTGCCTTCTTTATGCACAGTAATCTGAGCAATGAAACTAAGTAAATGCTTCCTGGAGCTCAGGAAATGTTTAACATGCTGCATCTTATTGGTCCTGTTATTAGAAATAGGTCTTCATCCTTCTGATGAGTTTGACATGTGGTTGCAGATCATCATGCCAACCTGAAAGGAATGTTAGATCTCAGAACCTTCATTATGACCCCAGGCAGTATAATTCAGTCAAAGTGGTTTTATTTGTTGGTATGACAGTCTGAAGGACTAGAGGATGATTCTGATACCTGTTCCTACTCCACAACCTGTTGGGATGAAGTGACTCCTACTGATGATTTCACTTGGTTTGAGATGCATTAGATCAGGGGTACCCAAAGTCGGTCCTCGAGGGCCGGCATCCTGCACTTTTTAGTTCTCTCCCTGGTGGTGGTAACAACCTTTTCAGCATGTCAATGTTCTTCTTAGGCCTTCTAACGAGCCATCAATGGATCCAGGTGCGCTAAACCAGGGAGAGAACTAAAACATGAAGGATGTCGGTCCTCAAGGACCGACTTTGGACACCACTGCATTAGATGGTACCATCCTATCTAGAGCCTCTTGGAGGAAGCTAAGCACTCACCAGTAGAACTCATATGGGATACTCCGTGCCTGTTATTTAGGGATGCACTGATATAAAAATTTGGGTCAATATCGGATATAAATATTGCTGTTATGGCCAAAAATTTATATTTCCCAATATTGTATACATTATAATTCACTACCCTTTTAGCACCGAGACAGCCACGCCAGTGACTTCACCACTGCTTCAGTTAAATCCCCACAATTCTTTTCTGCATCACTATCACATGACCAAACAAATACCATGACCAACCTCCACCCTCAAATGATGACAAGTTTTATTCATCAGACTGATGCAACATTTAAAAAAGACTATTGGCTCATACCGATGTTGGTGCCAATATATTGGGCTAATGTCAGTAGGAGTTCTGACTACAACTGGTGGGTTCCCTCTGCCGCTGTGCCTTTGGGCAAGACACTTCAACCACCTTGCCCACTGGAGTTGGTCAGAAGGGCCGATGGTGCAATATGGAAGCCTGGCCCAGGGCAGTTGTGGCTACTATCCAGTAGCTTGCCGTCATCAACGCATGAATGTGTGCTTGAATGGGTGATTGATTTCATTGTAAAGTGTCTTTGAGAGTGCTGAAAAATGCTATATAGGTTTCAACATTTCATTACGTTGTGCATCTCTGCTGTTTTCAGTATTTTCAGTGATGTTTCTATGTCTCCTGTGTTTCAGGTGGGAATGTGCTCATCCTGAACACATGGGGGGAGCAGTCGGGGCCTCACATGCAGGCCCTCCACTTCAGCTTTGCAGCAGGGGCCTTCGCGTCCCCCATCATAGCCAAGCTGTTGTTTGGCCATGATGGAAACGGCAGCACTCCGGCCAAACCCACCAACCCGCCAAACGTCACCTTGACAACTGTCTCTAACACCATGATCCGCTACATCCATGCCAAGAGCAGCACCCTGAAGTCCATGTGGGCCTACATCGTAATCGGCTCCTTCCTCCTCTTCATCTCCTTACTCTTCTTCGTCCTGTACTCCCGCGGTGGCGCGTCCCGGGACAAACCGCAGGCAGCGGCAGGGAAGCCCAAGATGGCCAAACACCACCTGGCTCTTGTCATCCTACTTTTCTTCTTCTTCTTTGCCTATGTGGGTGCAGAGGTGGCGTATGGCTCCTTCATCTTCACATTTGCCAAGGACTACGCCCACATGCCTGAGGCTCACGCAGCCGGCCTCAACTCCCTGTTCTGGGGGACCTTTGCGGCTACTCGGGGGATGGCCATCTTCTTTGCAGCCTGCTTGTACCCTGGCACCATGATCCTCCTCTGCCTGCTGGGCACCATGCTCTCCTCTCTTCTTCTCTGCTTTTTCACCAACCACAATGCGGTGCTGTGGGTGGGCACCAGCCTCTACGGGGCCTCCATGGCCACCACCTTCCCAAGTGGGATCTCCTGGCTGGAGCAGTACACCACGGTGACGGGCCACACGGCGGCAGCCTTCGTGGTGGGGGCTGCCACAGGGGAGATGGTCCTCCCAGCTCTGGTTGGATTCCTCCTCGGGATTTTTCCCAAGCAGCCTCTGCTGATGTACCTGTCCCTCATCACTGCTGTCTTCACCTCCATCCTGTTCCCTGTCATGTATAAGGTAGCCACGGCACCTGGCACTGCGGGCAGGAAGCTCCGTGTTGGGGGCCGGATGGACGCCGACAACGGCGAGGACCGCCAGGCCCTGTTGGACTCTGGAGCTGCCGAGGATGACGAGGAAGAGGAAGAGCAGAATGAGGCAGATCAGTGGAACGATGCAGACTTTGAGGTCATCGAAATGGATGACACGTCAAGTGTTAATTCCCCCAGCAAGGGTTCATCTCCCCCAGGTGGTGGTGCTGTAACGAGCCCCTCTGCTGCATTAAACAGCCCTGTAGCTGACTCTCCCAGAGGCAAGCTGCAGTTCTCACTGGACAGACAGAAAAGAGACTGAATGCTGTAGCACCATCTACTGATCCTGCACTGAACATTACATGAGCCATGCTTGTTCTCATTTCTGGCCCAGCATTTCCATGGAGACGCTGGGCCTCCATGCGTCTTCACTGTTTTAACAGCTTGAGCTTTTAAAACAGAGGCTTAGAGACAGACTTCCTGCTCTGCTGGTGCCCTCTACAGGAGACACCAACAGCTAACAGTTCAGTGCCTTCCTGAGGACACGCCCCTGATCATCCAGCCAATCAGCTGCCAGACTTATGTTTGAAGTACATTTTGTTGCACTTTTATGAAGGGTTTTGTTTTTGTGATGCAGTGTATTGAGGTTTGTTATCACTGAGTCACTTTGAGGGTTAAATTTGAATTATTGAACAAGGTGGCTTATGAATACTGAGTTTTTTATTATATCAATCTTAAACCTCCACCCACAGCAATATCAATTAAAAACAATCAGAAACACCTTCAATATCTTCAGTTTTTACATTTTTATAAACAGATCCTGTGTGTGGCTGTGCGGAAAGCTGGACATAAAACCGTATATGCACAAAGAAATGATAAACTCTTTATGACAAATTATATATAATACAGTATTGCAACAGTCCCAGATTGATAAATGAGTTTCCAGTTCTTACACTGTGAAGATGATGGGGAAGAAACATGGCAGGATTTGAATTCATGGCTGGAGTTTCAGTTTTCAGGTTAATCCACAGTGAGAGAGTAGAAAGATATTCACAGGAAAACTTCAGTCTGTCAGGATGAAGTGAAGTTAGCTTGTGGTTGATGTCAAACTGCTGCAGTAGATCATCCCAGCAGACACGAGCTTCACTCAGCAGCTTATGGAGGTTACCGTAAACAAGCATGACTAACTAACTGGAATAAGTTAGTGTTATTACAAGTATGAATAAAAAAAACAATGAGTAATCAAAGCACTGTTCAATAAAGCGTCAGCGGGTAGCACCAAATCAGTGGGGTTTCCAAAATGTTCAGCAGCCAATCAGAACTGCTCCAGCAGCTGTCGGAGGTATGGGGCCTTGGAGAGCTGCCTGTTGACCCGGGACAGCTTGTAGAGGACGGGACAGTCCAGGGACACACAGGAAACCTGTCGCTCAGCACAACTGCTGCAGTTCCTGCAGATCTAAACACACACAAGACCAACTCATTACCTGTGATATAACAAACAGTAAGACAAATGTTCCCACACAGAGTTCTCTAATAAAACGGAACACTGACCAGTTTATAACTAAAAGATTTTAGGCAACTGTGCCTAAATTCTAAACTTTCTGTGCCGACTTTCTCAGAACGCCAGAGTATGTGACATACTGCATCCTGTTTGGCTAAGCTGTGAGGTAACTATTGTTCATACATTTATTGGCTCCTCTGATAAAGATATGTGCAGACTGGGAAAATTCAGTTTTCATTACAGTAAGAATCTAACAAAAATAAAATCCCACCTTTATTTTGACAACTTTCATTCAGTGAGGGAAAAAAAAAAAATCCAAAATGGCCCAATTATTGGTTCCTCTGCTGGCACTCTGTATAACTCCCTTTGTCATTTAATACAGAGGGTTCCTACTGATGTTTCACTCCTAAATCCCACACTTTTCCAGGCTTACATTTCAGTGTTCAACACTTCAACACACCCTAGTCATCAGCAGAACTTGACTGCATTCAGACATTAGGCATTCAGGTAGGTGTGTTGGACAAGAAACATGTCTAAAAGTTGCAGGAAACCAGATTGTGAGGTCTGGATTTGAAGATTCCTGCCTTAGAGAATAGCTTAACGGTGTTGCCTTCAATTGTTTATGCTAAGAAAACCTTTTAAGCTATTTTGCCCAGCCCTACGTTCCTGTTGGCTGGGCTAAAAGGAAAGGGTCTCTATAAGGTCATATTTACACCACAGAGAAACAAAATCATGGATTCTCTGAGAGCCACTGTCCCACAGCTTTTCAATACATAATTCAGGCATTTGATGAATTATGTACATGAACTACATGAGCCACTTTTAGACAGTGGCTCTCGAGGACTTTAGTAGGAAACCCCTGACCTTAATCTCTCTTCGACTTAAGCATAAATCCAAAATGATTTTAAGAGTTGTTGTGGGTACCAATAATTGCACCATCTGCGATTTTCTAAAAAATAAATATTTCCTAGTCAGTATTTGTCCCGTTTCATATTCATGTTAGTATCTTTGTACTGCCAGCAGACCTGGGTGCATAAATAGCAGACATATCCTAAAGGTGGACTCACCTTGAGCAGCTGCTCCTGCTGGTTCTCCCACTGCCTCATGTCCTGGTACAGGGTCACAGCTACCCGCTGGGGGTCGGCTCTGCACTGTGCGCACACTCCTAGTTGGGTCAGCTCATCACACACAGGGCAGTGAAGCGTGGTGAAATACTGAGAAATGGTTCCTTTCCTCCCAGCGGGCTCCTCGCCCCCCACCACAGAGGAGCAGGACGCTTTCTGGATCTGATGAGGGACGACAGACAGAAACAGCTCTAAACAACACTGAACATCCTTTGCTTTTAACTTCCAAAAGCTTCAAGTTTGACACAGCCAACTGGTCTGAGCTTCATCCCAGTAACACTGGGCAAAATCTTTCCCTACAAGACCAAGATTGCTCTCACCGGTCAGTCTGGATGTTGACCAGCAGATGGCAGTAGTGCTCTGTCACACAAAAAGCACCGACTTCAAACAGCATTTCATTAATTAATCTGATTGGATTCTCAGGAGGAATCAGAAAAGATTTATCCTACTCTGTCTGAAACCAGCCTCGCTTTACTGTGACAAAAATGATGGCTGGGTTTTTATTTGTTAAGGCTTTTTCTTTCAATAAGGTTATCTTCTTATTATGGAAGTTTTCATGCGAGTTAAAACTGTAAAATGAGTCCCGACCACTCACTCTGGGGAGCTCCTGGTACCATCCGAACACGTCCACTCCGATGAGCTGGAACAAGCGGCCCAGCGGCGGGAGGATCTGTTTGGTGATGTAGTAGGTGGCGTTGAGGCGCAGGCTGGGGTCCAGCAGCACCTCCATGGGCCGGCGCACTAGCTGGATGAGGGGCACGCCGGGCATCCCATACACGATCACATAGGGGACTCTCTCGCCCACGCGGGGCTCCAGGCGCCGATCGTACGCCATCATCCGCCTGAGAACCCACAGAACACCAGAACCTGATGGGTTGGGCCATCCGCTGTGACTCTGCTGCCTCACTGCACTTAGAAACTAAATTAACTCTCCTAGTCTTTAGGATTGGCATATTTTCTACCATCTGACACCAAATTCTCCCCCCCCTCCCCCCCCCCCCCCCCCCCCCCCCCACCCCCCTAGGCCCCCCCCACAACCGACAAAAAGAAAACAAA